ACACTAGGCAAGTCACTTACCTTTCTGAGCTTCAATTTCCTCATCTATAAAAGGTCTCTAACACCCCCTTAAACTCTAACTCTATTATCCTGTGACTGTACATTTTAAGTTGAGTCCACTAATTATCTTATGAAGTGACAATGAGTTATTTAGGGAAGGTGAAGTTGGCCACACTTGCATGAGTTGAATAAGAACAAAGCCCTACCCTTTCCCACTGGTTAGAGACAAACTACAGTGGTGTTTTTGTTTTTGTTTTTTTAGGGGGGAAGTCTAATGAATGTGCGTAGATGCTGAGAGATTGCATATGGATAACTGAGGCTACATACTTTGTGGGGAAATGTAAAGTCTTAGAATTGGGGTAAAAATGGCTTTCATAAATACAAGACACAAGGAGTGTTTCTAAGTGAAACTTAAAAAGATCAGTGAGTTTTGGAGGACTGCAGGCTCAGAATAAGTCATCAGTGGGACATGGTAATTAAAAAATCCCAAGAGAACATAGGCTGTATCCAGGGAGGGATAGTATGTATGGAGGGAGGGCAATCACAGTCTCTCTATATTCTGGTCAGACTCCATCTGAAGTACTGGGTTATGTTCTGGCTGCCACATTTTAGGAAAGGCAACTAAAATGGGAAAGGGCTATTCATATGAGGACTAGTTAAAAGAATCCTGAATGTTACCTTGGAGGTAGAAACAAAATAAGTGATGTTTCTTTTCAAATATTTCAAGGACTGCCATATGAAAGAGAGATTAGGTCTCTTTTGTTTTGCTGAGGACCTCTGAATCATGCCATCTGATCTACTGTTTCACCGTTAGGACTTTGAGGCCTTTCTATTCATCCAATAGATGAATTTTCTCATATGAATTATCTCCTGCTCCTTGAGAATAGAGGGAGACAGGACATATAAGAGAAATCAGCTTCGGCATGTCTCTTGTTTTGCCTACCTGTATTTCTAAGCTACAAAGTGGGCATCATTTCTTCGATTTGCATTCCTAGTACTTGGCACATAGTAAACACATGCTTTTGTATTCATTTATTTATTCATTCATTCGTGACTGAGGCCATTCTCTTTCACTCTTCCTGTCATGTAATCAATTGACCAGCAGAGAATAAAAGCCAGTGGAAGAGGCAACTCTGACCTGATGATCTGCAGAACAGAAGCAGTCTACTCTCTCATGAAATGTGTTGTAGGATGTTGTACATTTTGCAGGTGGGAGAGAGGATCCAGACTGTGGAACTAGGGCCTTTCCTCACTAACAGAAACCTGGGAATTTACTTCCTGCTGATCCTTCTGTGTGGATTGCTGTGGTTTTTTGGGTTCCCATGAGACTGGATGTGGTCTGAAGCCTGACTGTATATACCTGGAAGTGGTGTCCTCAAAGTGAAGGGTCTATTGGTCTTTGTGGGATAACAGGGGATGAAACAAGAGCCAAACCTGGGCTGGTCTGATTATGAACAATGAAGCTTGGACGCTGACTAGGTGAGATGAACACATCCCTCTGGAGCTCCCTTGTCTCTGCTCTCAAGATTGCATGTCTGGGGAAGAAAGCCCCTTCCTCATACTTTTAAGTCTCTGTAAGCACAAAGATGCTAGAAGGAAAACTTCATCCATTGAATCTCCACTTGTCTTACCTTTTCCCAAGCAAACCGAGCCTAATCCAGGCAATGGGAATTAACTCTCTTAAATCCAGTCCATAAATGGATGCCCTAAGAAAAACAACTGTAAGGGTAGTGAAATGGAAAGAATGTTAGCTTCAGAGTCAGGTGAAGTGGGTCCAAATCCCCATTCAGTTACACATACCACCTGTGTAAACTTAGACAAATCCGTTAATCTCTCTAGGCCTCATTTCCCTCATCTCTAAAACTGGGGGTTTGGATGACTTGATATTCAAAGGCCTTTCCAGCTCTAACTCCTATAAGAATTTGACAAATGTGGGCTAGAAGAAGGAAAAGAATCAGGTAACCACTTCCATATTCTCCTGTGTATCTTCAGCCTTGTCTAACGTGTCATTATCATCCAACAGAAGCTTAATTCACCTGTAATTCAGCTGAACATGAACATACAATAACGTGGGAGGTGTGTGCCTCGCCCTGTCACTGCTTTAAGTAAAAATGATCATTTGTCACTACAGCTCCATGGTAAGAAGCCTTTAAAAGAATAAATAATACTGTTGTCTTCATGTCAAGCTAGCTGTCTGGTTCCTTTACCCCTTTGACTTCCTTGTTTTTACCATAAGGACTCAGCTAGAGTGGTTATATATTTAACGGAAGAGAGAACAGTGTTGACCTTGTATGAGTACAGCTCATCTCGTATTGATTATATCTTTGAAAATTCACCATGGGAAACAATAGGGCAGGGAAGTCAGCTAGGATCATCTTTAGCTGACGGGATCCGAGTTTTTCTTGATGGGGCAAAGAACTTGATGGGGCGATGGTGGAGTTGTGGGTTATTATAATGGCCTTAGGGTATCAGGCACGACATTGGAAAGAAACTTTGGTCAGCCATATTATGTGAGGAGTGTCTGCACTCAGAATCACAGAATCTACAAGTTGGAGAGGACCTCAGAAATCATCTAGTTGACTTCATGCCTGAATAGGAATCCCTTCTGCATCATCCCTGACAAGTCTTCACTTGGATACCTCCAGCAACAGGGAACTTGCTCCTCTTCATGGCAGTCATTTCTACTATTCGTTTGATGTATCCAGAAATTTTTCTTTATATCAAACTAAAATCTACCCTTCTTTTTTTTTGTTTTGTTTTGTTCAGTCATTTCAGTTGTTAGACCTGTCATGACCCCCTACCTCTCTGTACCTTCCCCTATCATTTCTAGCTCTGACCTTTCAGACCATAAAGGGAATAAATAATTGTTCTTCCTAAAATTGTTTGTGTGTGTGTGTGTGTGTGTGTGTTTGTAGAGGGGAATGGGGTATGGATTATGATTTCATTGTTGAGCTTTTCTTATATGGAATCTCCTCTGACTCAGACCAACAATTTATTTGCAACTTATAGAAGGAATATAGATTTAAAGCTTAAAGGGATCTCTCAACCAACTCCTTCATTTTGTAGATGAAAAAACCGAGCAACGACACTAAGATATTTGCCTGAGATCACATAGGTACTAAGTGGCAATTAATCAATCCATCAACCAACATTTATTAAGCATCTACCATGTGCCAGGCACTGTGTTATGCAGCAGAGCCAGTATTCAAATCTAGATCTTCTGACTTGAAGTTCATGGCTCTTTTCACCATATTGTAAGAGTTTATTGACACTGAGTCCCCCAGTGACATGCCACAGTTTTGTGTCAGAGGCAGGATGTGAATAGAGGTCTTCGAGACTGCAAAGCCAGCCCTCTCTCCACTACATCATGTTGCCTTTTATGGGACAACCTTTCACTAGCTGAAAGTCAGTCACCACATAGCCCTCACATCTTCTGTTTTCTATGCTCGACATGGGACCCGAGTAACTCAAATATCATCCTTCAGTTGCATCAGTCTGTGGCCCATCAATCAATCAATGAATCAACAAGCATTTATTAGCCGGTTCAGTCATAGGAATTGGTGATACACTACATGTACAAACTGCAAAATGCGTATCACAAATATAAAGCAAATGAATACAAATCTATTCAAAGTAAAATACAAGGTAAATACAAGGTAGTTTGGGGGAGAGGGCACTAGCAACTGAGGGAATCAGGAAAGGCATCTTACATAAGACAGTAGCTGAGCTGTGTCTCAAGGAAAGCGAGAGACTCTAATATGTGACGGTAAGGAAGGAGAGTATTTCAAGCATAAGGGACAGTCAGTAAAATCACAGAGATGGGAAGATGGATGGAATGTCAAGTGTGAGGAAAGGAGAGAAGGCCAGTTTGACTGGATAACAGAGTGGGGGAGAGGGAACAATGTTCAATGAGGCTGGGAAGATGGGTTGGGGCCAGGTTGTGTAGGGTTTACCTAGACCTCACAAGTGAGATGCTGCTTAAAGTTCTATATACACACGGAGAACAAGAAGGAAAACTTCTACCCTCTGCTCCCATCCCCCTTCCCTAATATTCCCCTGCTCAAGTATTCCTGAACCAACTTTTCACTCATCCTTTCATCAAGTAACCTTTGATGACATTTCTGAGGAAATGGGATGGTAAGGAACCAGGGTAGGTTGGCATAAAGATTATCTGAAATATGACAAGAATAGATGATGAGGAAAGGAAAGACATTTAACATTTAATTTAAAGAACATTTATGTTCTAGGGAACCTAAAGATGAAATGCTTTCTCTGGAGAGTCATCCTCTAAGAAGTACAGAAGATCAAAGTTTCACATCTTCTACCAGGCAGGCAACCCAAGACAGTGGTTTTGACATCCAAACACTAGGTACATCATTTGGGAGCTTCAGCTCCCACGGAAAATTGCTTGGCCTCATAGGTATCATGATTGATCTGAATTTAGGCTGTACCTTTCTGCCCAATACAGCCTAGAGAAAAATTAAATGTAGCCTCTAATGGCCATAATGCTGATTCACTCTTGTCCACCCATTTTGCTAACCTTCCACATTAAGAATTTGACTTTGTAAGCAATCTTCACCATTCAGGTCTCTGAATTCATCCATGGTGCTTTACCCAGAGCTGCAACTTTTAGTCCTAGTCAGGACAGCTTCCCATCATACCCAAACCCCAGCCATCCAATAGTCCAACTTTCTAAGTAAATATATTTTAATATGCTCATTTTGTGTTTTTGTCTCTTCACTATATATATGTGTGTGCATGCATTTTTTTTCATTTTCAAAGAGATCTCCTATTAGGGGTGTGACATATTCAGGGGAGGTCTACATCAGGAACAATACTATAACAAAGTAACTATCTACCACCTGTCTGTTCTGTCATTAACAAGGGGCTGTCTCCACTTTGGGTAGCTCATTGACAAATGTTTTGCACGACCATGACTTCGGACAGCTAAGAAAGAAACAATTTTTCACCCTCCTCACCAGAGCAGAAAATGATGGAGTGTTACATGGATACTGTAATTAAAGATTAAAAAGCAGGGGAAAAATCTGAAGCTTAGGCCATCCATCACTCATGGGCCACTCACCAGTCTCCGTGTTCTCGTGCTCAGTGTCAGTGAGGGTGAGGTTGGAGTTGGCCCGGCTCGACAGGCAGGAGCTCCTTCCAGACCTGGTGCTCCGGCCCCACAGTCTTACCGGATGCTCGGGGGACAAGACGGCCTCAGCCTCAGCATCAGCGTCTGAGCCAGCCCCCATGGAGTAGCCACAGTGGGGCAGGCCAATGTCTGTCCTGTACAGAGTTCCATGGGGTGGGGTCACCTCTCCCAGCCCAAGCTCTCGAAGAGAGAAGTTGGCACCTAGAAGAAAATAAAATGATGCATGAGAGTTGATAGCCAAGGAAGAGTCTCTGGCTTACTCCCTAATTAAGTCAGTGTGGTTCTACTGGTTACCACTCCAGAAAGATTCACAGTTCAGTCCTCATGACAATCCTCACACATGTGTAGTGCATGTAAAATTAAGTCCATTTTATAGATGAGGGCAGCTAAGTGGTGCAGTGGATAGAGTGCTGGGCCTGGAGTCAGGAAGACTCACCTTCCTGAGGTCAAACCCCAAATGGGGTCATGAAGAGTCAGACATATTAAAACAACTGAATAACAACCACAAAAACAACATAGTATAGTATTATAATATATATGTATATACATATGTATATATATATAAAACATATATAATACACATACGGCATATACATTTTCAGACACGGGAAATGTGTTAATTTGTTTTGTAAGTCTATACTTTTTTGTTATAAGGGAGAGTTTCTATTTGGAAAGAATAGCTAGGTAGCGCAGTGGTTAGAGAGCTGGGCCTGGAGTAAAGAAGACTAATCCTCCTGAGTTCAAATCCAGCCTCACTCACTAGCTGTGTGACCCTGGACAAGTCACTTAACCCTGTCTGCCTCAGTTTCCTCATCTGTAAAATGAGCTAGAGAAGGAAATAGCAAACCACTCCAGTATCTCTGCCAAGAAAACCCTAAAAGGAGTCACAAAGAGTCGGACACAACTGAAAAATGATTGAACAACAACAACATAGATGAGAAAACAGAGACCCAAAGAGAGATGAAGTGATTTTCCCAAGGTCACACAACTGGTGGAGTTAGAGCTAGTACCAGAGCCCACATCTTCTGACACTGAGCTCTGAATACAGTGCCCAGCCTGTTACCTCTGGGATCAAATATTCAATCCTCTTGTTGACATTTAGAGTCCTTAAGAGCCAGGCCCTTCCTGCCTTTCCCATCTTGTTACCCTTTACTTCTCTCCATGTTCTCTGTGATGCAATGACGCAGGCCTCCTTGCTGTTCCTCAAACACTCTTGCTCCCCATCTCTCTCTTGTCCCTGTCTGTCCCCCATGCCTGGAATTTCCTCACTCTTCATCCATGCCTCCTTGAAGAATCAGCTCAAATTCCACTTTCTTCAAGAGTTCCCTTCCTCTGCTCGTGCCTTCCCTCTGAGAGCACTCCCCTTTTTTCCTGTATATAACTTGTATGCACGTGGGGATTTGTGTGTTGGTTTTTTTCCCCATTAGTCTATGAGCCCTTTGAGAGCAGAGACTATTTTTACCTTTCTTTGCATCCCTGGAATTTAGCACGGTGCTTGGCACATAGTAAAAGCTTGTTGATTAACTTATCGCCTATCCAAGCTTTCCACAGACTCCTCTCAACAGCCACCACAACTCTAAAAACTTCAGATGCTCCCCATTGCCTGGGGAATAATTATAACTGATGTGTTCAAAGCTTTGAGGTTTGTAAAGCTCTTTACATGCCTCACATCACTCTGTAGACCTTGCCGTCACTTTGTGTAGGAAATATTACGGGTATTATCATCCCCACTTTTCAAATTAGGAAACTGGATCCCAGCAAGGTCAGGTGACTGGCCAAGGGTTATACAGCTTTGTTGTTGTTCAGTGGTGCCCAGATCTTCATGACTTCATTTGGAGTTTTCTTGGCAAAGATACTGGAGTGGTTTGCCATTTCCTTCTCTAGCTCATTTTACAGATGAGGAAACTGAGGCAGACAGGGTTAAGTGACTTGTCCAGGGTCACACAGCTAGTAAGTATCTGAGGTCAAATTTGAATTCAGATCCTCCTCATTCCAGGCGTGGCACTCTATCCACTGTGCCACCTAGCTGCCCAGTTATATAGCTAGCAGATGTTAAAGGTATGATTCAAACTCAAGTCTTCTTGACTCCAAGCCCAACCTCTAGCCATCACATCATGATACTTTTGTGTAAAAATCCTTTAATTAAGTCTTATCAAATTTACCTCCATATCATTTTTCTCCTTCTTCCTTCTTTCTCCACTCCTGCGGCCACTACCCTAGTGTGGGTCTCAGGTCTCACCTGGACTAGTGCAAGAGCTTCCTGCCTAGCAAGCTTCTCCTTGCTTCCATTTCCCCTCCACTCGTCCATTTCTCTAATCCAGCCTCCAAGCAGCTGCCAAAGCGATACTGCTAAAGCACAGGTCTGACCAAGCCACTTCAGGCTCTAGAAACTCCAATGACCATTGATTCTGGGATTAACTTCAAATCCTTCTGTCTAACATTTAATGTCCCTCCCTATCTGGCTTCAACTTGCCTCTCCGAGTTTATTACACATCATTCTCCTTCACACACTCTATGGACCCCTGGTACCCCTCAAGCATGTCACTTCATCTTTCACCTCCACACCTTCGCATATCTACCCTTTATACCAGGAATACCATCTCTCCCTACCTTGGCCTCTTGGAATAAGAAAGCTGAGCTTTCTTCAAAGCTTAGCTTGTGCCCCCTTCTACATAACGCCTTTCTGATCCTTACAGGCACAAGTGCCTCATGATGATTTTGTACATAATTTTGTATTTATAAATGTGTATATACATAATATGTATATATGTGTGTTATAGATGTGTACATGCACATATATATATATACATGCATATATAATACATGCATGCATGTATTCAATACTTGTTTCCTTCCTTCCATCAGGGAAATAACACATATAGGAATGAGTATGGGTGTGGATATACACACATACCCATGTATGTATGGATACATATACATGCATGCATACATGCATTCATATAACCTATATATGCTTATATACATATACACATACCCGTACATATACATACACACACAATGCACATGCATGTAAGTACATACATATGCATGTACATACACACATACATATATACGTGTTTCCCTGCTGGAAGGAAAGAAAATAGTAATTATTAAGCACCTACTATGTGCCAGGCTACTACAACTCTAAAAATTTCAGATGCTCCGCATTGCTTAGAGAATAATTATAACTGATGTGTTCAATGCTTTGAGGTTTGTAAAACTCTTTACATGCCTCATACCACCCTGTAAACTTTCTGTCAATCTGTGTAAGAAATATTACAGGTATTATCATCCCCACTTTGCAAATTAGGAAACCGAATGAAGTGCTTTACCAATATTATCTCATTTGATTCTAACAACCCTGGGAGGTAGGGCTGTTATTTTCTCCATTTTACAGTTAAGAAAAATGAGGCAATCAAAAGTGAAGTGACTTGGCCAGGATAGCACAGCTACTAAGTATCCAAGGCCACATTTGAACTCGAGTCTTCCTGACTCCAAGTGCAGCAGGACTCTAGCCACTGGGCCACCTAGCTGATAGAATGTCAGCTCTATGAAGACAGAGAACGCTTCATCCGATGTCCATCTCCAGAGCCTAACAGCACCTGGCATGGATTAGATGTTTAGATGTTTGCTGAGTGATCGACTAGACAAGTATTCAAGGATATCATGGGATCAGATCTCCGAGTTGGAGACATCTGGTTGAACCTGTCTCTGAATGTGAACCCCCTCTACAACATCCCTAATAAGTCATCTTCTAGCCTCTACACTTGAATAACTGCAGTGATGGGAAGCCCACTACCTCCTGAGGCATCCACTCGACTCTGAGACAGCTATTATTCTTAGATAGTTTTCCATCATATTAAGCTGAAATCTGTTTTCCTGTAATTTCCATCTATGGTTTCTAGTTCTGTTCTCTGGGGTCCTCTACAATTTGGTTCCAATTGGATTTTCTGATGCCTTATTATGAAAATAACATAAATACCCTTCATGTATTCTCTCGTCTATCCAACCAGAACACTTTTATTTTCCCCCAATCTTCTCCTGCCCTCTCTGATCTCTCTTGTCTTTATTCATACCAACTCTCAGCCTGGCATGGACTCCCTTTTCCTCTATCTCAACTTAGAAAAGGCTATCCTCTAAAACCACAACAAATATTAAACATATTCCCAAGTATAGACCAAACAAAATTAAAATATAATTGGAAAATATTTAACAAAAGAAATAAAAATACAATAGAACACAGGTAATGTAAATATTTTCCTTTCTTTCAAAGGTCTACCCTCAGGTGCCACCTTCTTCATGAAGGCTTCCCTGCTCCTCCTCCATCAACTCCCAGGTCAAAGGCATCTTCCTCTCCCTAGTTTCTCACTGCATTTTGCATGCCTTCTCCCCTCCCCCTCCCCAAGAATCACAGGATTTAGAGTGCAAAAGGATCCTTAGGCATCATCTAGTCCCTCACACTGTATAGACAAGGTAACAAGCCCAGAATGTCAAGTGTTTTGCTCAAAGACATTAAAAGGCAGATCCTGTATCCAAACCCAGGTGCGCTGACTTTGAATCCAATGCTCACTCTATTTTATCATGCTACTTTTATATCAGGGCACTAGGTGGTACAGTGAATAGAGTTCCAGACCACTCTTCATGAGTTCAAATCTGGCCTAAGACACTTACTAACTGTGTGACCCTGAGCAAGTCACTTAACCCTGTTTGCCTCAGTTTCCTCATCTGTAAAATGAGCTGGAAGGAAATGGCAAACCACTCCAGTATATTTGCCAAAACACCAAATGGGGTCACAAAGAGTCAGACACAACTGAAAATGATTGAACAACAACTTCTTTATCATCCCAGAATTTGGGAGCTGATGGGGATCTCAGGCACCACCTACCCTAAACTGGATCTGAAAAAGGATATTCTCTACAACGCAAGTGCTAAACACACTCCCAAATGTAGACCAAACAAGATTAAAATGCAATTGGAAAATATTTAACAAAATAAATAAAAATACACTAGAACATAGATAATGTTAATATGTAGTTTTCTAAGTCAGCACATGGCCCAAAGGATCCTTAAGTATGGTTTAGTGGCCCTGTTCCTATTTAAGGTGACACCACTGATCTACAGTGTACCTGAGAAGTGGTCAACCTGTCATTGCTTGAGGACCTCAAGTGAAGGGGAACCCAGTACCTCCCGAGGAGCCCATT